ATCCACCAAAGTTCAAAGAGCTTCAGTATTTTTCAATGTCTAGTAAGTGAAAAAGCCATTCACTTGGTTTCAAAACAAAACCCAGCTGTTTTTCAGTTTCACACTGCCAGGCATATTTGTAATCCACAAAAGTTTCAGAGGGTTTCAATGTTTTCACTGTGTGTCTCCAAACATCCAGTATAAACAATTTTCAGGTGTTATTTTGTATCAAACTCAGGTTTATCTACAATAAACAAAACCTCCATTTTTCTTTCACTTTTTATAGTGGCTTTCTCAATCAGAAGGTGTTGCCCTTGCTCTGTTTCTCCATTTTTTACTGCAAGTTTTATTTTGAAATATCTAAAATATCCAAGAATCTCTCTTTAAAAGTTTATCAGGGCTAAAAAGCAATAAAATAAGTTCCAATATTTTAAGTCAGTTAAAATAATTAAATATAACCAGTCCAGACTTTCATGTGGCTTTAAATGTACCTCTCTTTAAAAGTTCTTTTCTCTCCTCCCCTGATCTCTCAGTAGCTCAAAATCTTGGTTGCCGCTATACTTTGGGGAGTGGGAAAAGAGAACCCTTCCTCCCCCTCTTGAGTCCCGCTCTCAAAAAGAAGTTGTTTTGGGGGAGAATTCCGTAACAGAAGTCAGAAAATTTCTCACTGAGCTCTGCCACCCAGTTAATCAATCAATCTTCATTCCCTCTTCAATCTGGCTGTCCCAGCCTTGGTCCGGCCATAATGACTATCTTTTTTTCCTGCCGGTTTGAGGGCTTTCCCCGGATCAAGCATGGAAACTGCCATCCCCTTGCAATCTATCTTTGCCACCCCTCTGGGGTGACTTTGGTCCCATAGGACCTCCTGGCAGATAGAATTTGGTTGGATTTTGCGGAGCCCGATGACTCCACACCATGTTGCCGCGACGTCAGTTGGTCTCTCCGAGAATATGATTTCTGTGATGTACCAGTTATTCTCAAAATAACACATTAACACAGAAGACAAGAGGGCTATACCAGAAAATAAATGGAAGAAGGAACATTTGATTTACTATGAAAAATTCATCAGCTAATTCATCAAGATTGAGAAGAATCTTGGCCAACTAGTCCTGTAAACACTTTTAAAAATATAGAAATGTAATATTATCTAGTACTTAGCAACATAGAAAATGCCTTGTATGGTAGGGATATACAGATCTGAAGTTTCTATTATGATTTGGTAAGCAAGTTGTTTTTCGAATGGCTTCTGACCTAAAACAGTGCAGGAAAAGTATCTTTTTTTAAAAAAAAGACTGTTTAAGACTTTAAATGAAAGAAAACTGACCTCACAAAGTGAAACTGACTGTTTTGAAGTTTGTCTCAAACTGAATTGAGAGGGAGAGGCTTGAAAAACTATACCATCCTGTCTCTTTCAGTCAGGTTCTTGAGTTCATATAGGTGCAGTCTCATTGATATAAGACAGCCAGTTTGAAATTTTCCTTTACTGAGTTATTAAAATTCAGACATAAGAAGCAATTAGAACAAAGACCACTTCCATTTAATCATTTTAACAAACCTATCAGATCTGGGCTCAAAAATCTGAATGACCACTAGACCACGGGTCCCCAACCTTTTGGACCTCAGGGACCACCAAGTTCATAATTTTAAATCCCATGGACCACTAATAGAATCTAGCACACCGCTTGCTGAAGTGCCTGGACTTCTGGTAACAGGATGGGGTCCTTCAGGCACTCTCCCTCCTCTCTCTCTCTCTCTCCCCTCTTTCTCTTTCTCTCCCCTGTCTCTCTTTCTCTCTCTCTCTCCCCCTTTCTCTTTCTCTCCTTCCCCCTCCTTCTCTCATTCTTTCTCTGATTCCCTTCATTCTTTCTTTTTCATTCTCTCTCTGTCTCTCATTCATTCTGTCTCTTCTCTCTTCCATTCTCTCTCATTCTCCCTTTGTCTCCCCCCCTCTCTTCCCCCTCTTTCATCTCTCCCTCTCTTTCTCTCTCTCTCCCACTCTTTCTCATTCTCTCTCTCTCGTTCTCTCTCTGTCTCTCTCATCTCATGGGCCAGCCAGTGTCTTGGGGCTGAGAGGAAGTCAAGAGTCTCCCAAGACACCGAGGTGCGCGGAGCACCAACAAGGGTCGGAAGAAACGGCGCGAGATCCAGCAAGAGACGAAGCTTTGTTCCCGCTCTGGAATATGGAGCAAATCTCCATCCCCTGCCCTTCCCTTCTCAGACCAGGCGAGGAGTGACTGGGAAGGGAGGGTGAGGGGTGGGGACAGCCACCGGTGGGTTCAGCCGACAGGAAGTTACAGCAGGGGGAAGAAACAGCCCAGGGGTCCCGCCACCCGTTGCTTCGGCCTGCCTGCACCGCCACCAGGGCCGGATTTAGTTTGAAAGAGGCCCTAGGCTATTCCACTTATGAGGCCCTTTCACCAGTGGTGGGATTCAATTTTTTAACAACAGGTTCTGTGGGCATGGCTTAGTTGGAGATGTGGCTTGGCAATCATGTGACGGTGGGCGTGGCTAGCTGGTCATGTGACTGTGTAGGTGTGGGTAGCTCGTCATGTGACCGGGTGGGCGTGGCTATGTGCATAGACTTTTTTCAGAGGGCTGAAAAAAGTCATTTCTGACTGGGACTCGCACTTTTGACCGGTCCTCACACTTATGACCATCCTCACATTTATGCCCATGCAGCTTTCTTAACAACCATGTCACTCATTTCACAACTGCTTTTCTTCACCATGATGACAAGATAGGGCAAAAACGTAAAATGTGAGGACAGTCGTAAGTTCGAGGACTGGTCAAAAGTGCGAGGACCAGTCAAAAATAACTTTTTCAGCCCTCTGAGTAGTCCATATGCATAAAAGGATACAGCAATAGAGAGGGATGAAGGAAGGGAAGGGAAATTAGAGTAGGAGTGAGGGTAAGAGGGGGAGGAAGAGAGGAGGAGAAGGAGAAAGGAAGAGGAAGTAGGGAGGAGAAGAAGAGGGGGGAAAGAGAAAGTAAGAAGGAAAGAAAAGAGAAAGGTGGTAGGTTTGAGGAGAAAGATTGCTGTACAATAAAAAAGATGAAAGGGAAGAAAGCCAACCCCAAACAAATATAAAGATATTAAGATAAAGAATGAATGGTTAAACTTTAAAGAATAAAAGAGAACAAATATGAATAAATAGCAGTAATTAGAAACACACATACAAACATACAATTTATTTTCTTTGAACAGAGTATTTGGCCGGTTCACAAATTTAAATAGTGTTTAGTCACTTCAATTAAATTTACAATTTCTATATTTCCTTTTTGCCATATTTATTCCTCATCTATTTTTTTAAAAAAACCAATATTACCCTTCATCCTCATCTCTAATCTTAATCAAATTCAATTTTTCCCTTCTATTCTATATTATACCCCTTTCCATTGTCATCTATTTTATATACATCCTCACATTGTTTAATTATGTAATTATGTAATACAGTTGCTTAATACAAATTCAACATTTTAATATAAATCAATTAGTTATAAAACTATCTTTTTTGTATATTAATCAATATGAACATGAATATTCCAATTATTTCCATGCAATCCAATTTCTTACAAATCAATTAATTATATTTACCAATAATAATAAACCAAATAATTTCCCCCATATATTCCTCTGAACCACAACTTAACCATTTCTGCTTTCAACACAATATACAATTAAAGTATCTCAATTATTACAATTCCCTAGTTAAATACAGCTTTTTTTTCTTTTGTGTTTTAAAATCTTGAACTCTCCTCCTAAATTTCCCATTGTTTGCAGTTTTTCACCTACCTTTTTTGGGGAGGAAAAATAAAAATAAATATCTCTCTGCCTCATTTTGTCACGTTCCACCAAAGATCCTGGTTTCGGTTTCGTTTCTGCAGCTTAGCTAGGGGAAAAAAAAACTGCTTCAGGAACTCTTTACACTGATTGCCTGTAGGGCGGCCCTTTGAAGCCCCGGGCAAGAGTTTAAACAGTTTTTTTTTCTTCTAGCCATCAGCTGGGGCTCAAGAGGCAGCGGGACTGAGGAGGCAGAATGAAAAATCGGGACTTTTTTGAAACGCCGCGGGACGCGGGACAAATTGCTAAAAATCGGGACTGTGCCGCCAAAAGCGGGACGTCTGGTCACCTTACCCTAGAACCCCCAGAATCCCACCACTGTGTAGGCCCCTCTTGATCTTGAGGCCCTAGGCTGAAGCCTAGTTAGCCTATAGGAAAATCCGGCCCTGACCGCCACCCTCCCTTGCACCATTACCTCATTCCAGCCGGCAAGGGCTGCGCTGCAAAGTTGCAAATTGCACGAACCTCCCTCTACAACAGAGATTACAGCCCCACCATGCCTGGCCAGTCCCATATTCCAGAGCTCTAGTCACAGGACTGGCCATTGCTCATCCCGGAGCAGCTCCTCCTCCTGGGTGTGCCACGGACCACCAAAATTTTCTCTGGGACCACCAGTGGTCCGCGGACCACCGGTTGGTGACTACTGCACTAGACAGCAACAGAGCTAGAAATTTTTGCATTTACTGCTATCTAGTGGTTGCCTGCATTTCTGCAACCTAAATCTAATACAGTAAACCTAACTTTGACACATGGGTTAGTTATACTATCTTACTTTTAAGTAAAGTGCAATAGGCAACACAGATTTATTGGGGTAGAGTAAGAAATATGAAACAATTGTTAATTGTTGTTGTCTCTATTGCTTATTGTCAATGGGAGATGCTTACGTGGTCGTTTTTGCTTCAACTGGCAAACAACCTGCCTAAATTTGGGTTCCGAGTTAAACATCTATAGATAGGTGAAGTCATAAAGCTATTATCGGAATAACTGCTTGTGCAGACCAAGTCCGAGATCAGCATGGCGATTTGTTGGAATCTGGAACAACAACATCCGTGAGGAAATACGAACTTAAATCGGGCTAATTGTGGAGGAAATTTGGCCTTCGTCCTTTGCCGTAGTTGCTTAGCCTTGAATGCTTGTTTTTTTTTAAAAAAAACTGGTCTACGTTGCTCACGCATGCGTCGTAACCATTGTTCACCTGAGGCTTACAAACGGGGTAAAGAGGTAAAGCGGATGTAGGTGAAATAGGGGGATTGTTGTAGGCCGCTCTTCGCATTACTTCTGTGAATCTTCGAAGAAGCAATGTACCTTTGGGACCGCTTGATGTACTGAGGCTTGCAAAAGGGAAGGCTTTCCTCCGGCCGAACCTTCCTTTCGTGTGCTTCAGCCGACCGCCGTCATGTTCAAAAAACTGAAGCAGAAGATCAGCGAGGAACAAACTTCGGGCCGCGGAAGTCCCGGCTGTGGCGCTTCAGGGTTTTCTCAGGTACGCGGTAGAAAATCCGCGACCCATAGAATACGAACAGTGGTTCTTTTTCTCTCGCAAAATGTCTGGTGGTTTAAAAGGGAGTAATTAGATGCTTCAGAGGGGCCGGCTCTGGAATGTGTGCGAATCCTGACGGAATTTTGTCTCTCTCTACGGGATGGGAGGAATCGCTGAAAGCGTTCAGGTGCCGGCCTCCTCTGAGCCACATCTGTTAAGGCGCCATTGTTTCAGTTTATCGCTTTAGGACATTGCGCTAGCCACAAAGGCAGGTTTCTCCTCATGCTAGGTTAATTTAGGTTGTCTAGTTTCTGGCTTTGTAGGACTTATTCTTGCCTGGTCGGATAATTGTCTGAACAAGACATTCTGTACCCACCAAAGTTCATTGCATTTTAGCCTGGTGTTGTGAGAACTAGACTGTTAAGTGTATGGTTCTGTGTGCTTGTTAAAGAAATTGTGTTCTCTGAGTATTTAAGAACTTGGGTAAATTAGAAATATAAATGTAACTCGACTATGTTTATTCAGAACAGAGGGCTGCTAATTTAAGGGCAATTTTTCCACTGCTCTGGATAGGTCCCATTAAGTTTGATGTGGCTCGATTTCAGTTATGAGCTCATAGGATTATGTGCCTAAGCTCACCAAAAAGAATGTATCCCAAAGAGTTCCCTTTCAAATATGTCCTATCTTTGCCAGCACAGTCTTTTATTTATAGGAATGCATTAAGCATTCTTTTCAATTCTTAGTAAAAAGAGACATAAATAAGTTGCCTTTGATTTTGTGTAGGAGCAAATATTAACTCCTTTTTATTAAGAATTGATGAAAATTTTTTCCAGTAATGTGCCCTTCTAGTGATGTGTCATTTTTCTGTGCATGAACAGTTGTGAATAGTTTTTGAGTTGTAGCTCCTTAAATTAGGACATCAAATAGACTATTGTTTTCTAATTGTAAATGATTAGAGAATATACTATATTTCACTGTAACAATATCCTGATGTGGAATAAACTAGCTTATGAAAAAGATTTTTGAGAATCTGCCAAGGATGGAATGCGATGTACTGTTCAATAGCTAGGTCATGCTGTAGTGCATTCTTAGATGTTTTATTGTTTAATGACTCTTGAATATGAATTACATATATATTCTGATGTTAATGTGTTTTCTGTTGTGTCTTCTAAAATGGATCTTGATATAAACAAGCCACTAAATACTAATCTTGAAATAACATGATATATTTTCTATTATTCTTAGTGGTTACACGATTGAAAAGTAAGAGCTAATTTCAAACCTTCGTTAGTAACACTGAAAATGTTAGTCAAATTATATGGGTTTCAAGCAGTCTCCAAACACTTGTAAGAAAAGACAGTAGTCAACTCTTCCGCACTTAAAATCTGAAGTGTTTTGTTTCATGCAGCTATACAAGTCTTGTTTCTATGTTGTAAGGAACTTTTTGCACTCTGAAAGTGGCAAACTATTAGGTTCAGAAAAAATGTATATGAAAACAATGCATTTTTAAAAAAAGTATCTTTAATACATTGAAACGAGCATCAGATATTCAAAGCCCCTTCAGTTCAGAAAGAATATAGAATGTTGTATTTGAGAATCAACTACAAATTTAGAATAATGTTAAAAGAAACCTGAACATAAATATCATATTTTGTATGTATTGTGACAACCCTAGCAAGAAAGAGTGGCTGTACACCCTCCCCACCCCAAGATTCTTCCATCTGTGATTCTGGATGGGGTTGCAATGCCCCAAACAGATCTGGTGCACAGTGTAGGGGTCCCCCTGGATTCATGGCTGCTGTTTGAAGAGCAGGTGACAGCCATGGCTATGAGGGCTTATGCATATCTTCAAATGGTGTGCCAATTGCACTCATACTTAGACTGGGAGGCCCTGCTCACATAATTCATGCTGTTGTAACCTCCAGGATTGACTATTGTAATACACTCTACTTGGGCCTGCCCCTGCTCTACATGGGGCTGCCCATTTGGAAACTGCTAGTTGGTGCAGAATGTGGCTGCATGGGTAGTAAATGGTGCCAGATATATGTCACATGTAACACCACTCTTGTGTGTGCTGTGCTGGTTATCAGTACATTTCTGAGTGCAGTTCAAAGTGCTGATGATTACTTACATGGTTGGGAAATACCTGAGGGATTGCCTTTTTTCAAGAGTACCCATCCAACTAGATCAATCAGAATAGGCATGTTCCAGATCCTTTCAGCCAAAGAATGTCGACTGGCAGGAACCAGAAAGTGAGCTTTTTCTGCAGTAGCCCTTGTTCTATGGAACAGTCTTCCCTTTGGAGATCAGAATGGCCCCAAATCTATTAGTGTTTTGTAAGGCCCTAAAAACCTAACTATGTTCCGCGCCTAGAGTGCAGAATATACCAAAGTCCTGTTTCCCAGCTATATTATTAACTAAAAAGTTAATGGGAAAATGCTAGCCAATAAATGCCTACATAAAAATGCAAGGAGTGCTCAAACAGTCTTTTCTTTGTTAAATTTATTTGCTACCTATCTTGCCATGGAGCTACTCTAGGCCGCCAATTTATTTATTACTGAGCTGGTAGAATACTATCAGATTCAGAAAAAAGGCCAGCTACAAAGCTTTCAAAGCACAATCAGATATACATTGTGTATTTCATTGTGGTCAGTTGCAGATTAGAATAAATGAGTAATTTAGATCTATATAACAATTAGTCTATACAACAACTTTGTTTCTGTCTCTAGGTAAACAACTATCTCCAGAAAATAAAATTAGCATAGTTGTAAAAAAAATGTAAAGATCAGATAGTAAAAAACCATATGCATCCTTGTCAAATATATAAAAATAGTCTAAAAGCTGTATGGTTGGAAGAACCAATATTGTTCAAAATGGCTATACTGAAGTATTTATATTTTTAAGGATGTGGACAGGGTTCTGGGTAGGATTAGTGCCGCCACATGTTTATTGGACCCGTGTCCCTCCTGGTTGGTATTGGCCTCCCGGGAGGTTACACGAGGCTGGCTCCAGGGGATTATAGCTGCTTCTCTGAGTGAGGGTGCCTTTCCCGTTGCCTTGAAAGAGGCGGTGGTGAGGCCCCTCCTCAAGAAGCCTTCCCTGGACCCGGCTGAATTAGCTAACTATCGTCCGGTCTCCAACCTTTGTTTTGTGGCGAAGGTTGTTGAGAGTGTGGTGGCACGACAACTGCCCGGGCACCTGGATGAAGCTATCTATCTAGACCCGTACCAGTCGGGCTTCAGGCAGGGGCACAGCACAGAAACGGCATTGGTCACATTGGTGGATGATCTCTGGAGGGCTCAGGACAGGGGTTGCTCCTCTGTCCTAGTCCTATTAGATCTCTCAGCGGCTTTTGATGCCATCGACCATGGTATCATGCTGCAGCGGTTGAGAAGGTTAGGAATAGGGGGCACCGTTCTGCGGTGGTTCTCCTCCTTCCTCTCCGACCGCTCGCAGTTCGTGTTGGCAGGGGGGCAGAGGTCGACCACGAGGCGTCTCGCATGGGGAGTGCCACAAGGATCGGTCCTCTCGCCTCTTCTGTTCAACATTTATGTGAAGCCGCTGGGTGAGATCATCCGTGGTTTTGGGGTGAAGTGTCATCTGTACGCTGATGATACTCAGCTGTACATCTCCACCCCAGACCACCCCAACGATGTCCTTGATGTGATGTCTCGCTGCCTGGAGGCCGTGCAGGTCTGGATGGGGAGGAACAGGTTCAGACTCAACCCATCCAAGACCGAGTGGCTGTGGCTGCCGGCGTCCTGATATAGTCAGCAGGTGCCATCGCTGACTATTGGGGGTGAATCTTTGCCCCCCACAGAGAGGGCTCGCAATCTGGGTGTCCTCCTGGACGCACGGCTGTCTTTAGAAGAGCATATGACGGCCGTGGCCAGGGGGGCCTTTTATCAGGTTCGCCTGATCCGCCAGTTGCAGCCCTTTCTGGACCGGGACGCCTTGCGCATGGTCACTCATGCCCTTGTCACCTCCCGGCTGGACTATTGTAATGCTCTCTACATGGGGCTCCCATTGAAGAGCACTCGGAGGCTCCAACTGGTCCAGAATGCGGCCGCGTGGGTGGTTATGGGCGCAACTCGTTGTGCCCGCGTGACACCCCTCCTGCGCGAGCTGCACTGGCTTCCAGTGGTCTTCCAGGTGCGATTCAAGGTGTTGGTTACCACCTTTAAAGCGCTCCATGGCATAGGACCCGGGTACCTTCGAGACCGTCTTCTGCCACCAGTAGCCTTCCACCGACCAGTCCACTCCCACAGAGAGGGTCTCCTCAGGGTGCCATCAGCCAGGTTATGTCGGCTGGCGACACCCAGGGGGAGGGCCTTCTCTGTGGGAGCCCCAGCCCTGTGGAATTAACTGCCCCCGGAAATACGTAAGATCTCCGACCTCCGGGTGTTTCGCTGCACACTGAAGACCCTGTTGTTCCGCCAGGCCGGGCTATCAATATAATAATTTTAAATTTGGGTATTTTAAATTTCTGGGGTTTTAAATTGAGCCAAATCTATTTAATTATTTTAACTTTTAATCATTGTTGTGTCTTGTATTTTTAAATTGGCTGTACACCGCCCTGAGTCCTTCGGGAGAAGGGCGGTATAGAAATAAAATTATTATTATTAGTAGTAGTAGTAGTACAGTGTACAATTTGGTATGACTAGCTATACTCTGTATTGTATATCAAATTATTTGTAGGAAGGAGCTGAGTTATTCTTGGTATTTCTTTACAGAGATCTTCTGAAACTTCTGCACTGTCACCATCAATACACAGGAACAGAACATCTCTTACAGAGCAAAATGATGACAATACTTCAACTCCTAATAGAGAGGTGGGTTGAAGATCTATAATCATAAAGGGGGAGGACATCAACAACATGAAAACAAATATAATGATTTTTGTTAGGTAAAGGTAAAGGTTCCCCTCACACATATGTGCTAGTCGTTCCCGACTCTAGGGGGCGGTTTCAAAGCTGAAGAGCCAGCACTGTCCGAAGATGTCTCTGTGGCCATGTGGCCACCGTGACTAAACACCAAAGGCGCACAGAACCCTGTTACCTTCCCACCAAAGGTGGTCCCTATTTTTCTACTTGAATTTTTTTTAATGTGCTTTCGAACTGCTAGGTTGACAGAAGCTGGGACAAGTAATGGGAGCTCATCCCTTACGTGGCACTAGGGATTCGAACTGCTGAACTGCTGACCTTTCAATCAACAAGCTGTCTTAGCTGCTGAGCTACCCCGTCCCTATGATTTTTGTTACATTTTATTAAATTAATTTTAGTCTGTTCTCTGTTGGTTAATGTGGTATAAATTAATTGCTGTATAAATGAACAGCACAAAAAAGAAAACTTTCATGAAAGACTGAATTCAGTACAGAAATTTGAGTTCCTTGAGTGCCAATAGGTACTTTTTAAAATCTATAGGTATCTTTGTCCACAAATCATCCTGTATTTATTGTCATTTATTGTTAATGTGATGTAGTGATTAAAATTATGGACTTTGACTGTGGAAACCTATTTCAGTCTATTCTCAGCCACAGAAGTTTGTCATTGCTCTTTCTCTCTCGGCCCAATTCAACTTTTCCTGCATAACTTAGATAGTATAGATAGTCATTGTCTTAACAACTGTTCACTTAAGGAAAGTTTGGTATTATGACAGTCTTTGAAAAGGGTTTTATTTTGTCGCATTTCTATGACGTCCAACTCCCGAGGGACTCTGGGCGGTTTACAACAGAGAATACAACAATGCAACAATATCGCATACAAAAGTTAAAAGAAGACATTAAAACGTTAAAACACATACACTCCAATTTGTGGCCGGGTCTCGCAAGATCACTATAACGAGATCAATGGCCGCAGGCCTGCTGGAAGAGCCAGGTCTTCATCGCTTTCCTGAAGGCCAATAGGGTGGGGGGCGGTCCGGACTTCAGGAGGTAATTGGTTCCAGAGAGCCGGGGCAGCCACAGAGAAGGCCCTCCCCCGGGGCCCCGCCAGCTGACATTGTTTAGCTGACGGGACCTAGAGGAGACCAACTGTGGGATCTTACTGGTCGCTGGGAGCTATGTGATAGAAGACGGTCTCGAAGATAGCCTGGTCCTGAGCCATGTAGGGCTTTAAAGATAATAACCAACACCTTGAATTGCACCCGGAGACCGATAGGAAGCCAGTGCAGCTCGCAGAGAATTGGTGTAATGTAGGTGTATCTAGGTGCACCCACTATAACTCGCGCGGCTGCATTCTGGACCAACTGTAGTCTCCAAACACTTTTCAAGGGTAGCCCCATGTAGAGTGCATTGCAATAGTCCAACCCTGAGGTAACAAGGGCATGAATGATTGTGAGGAGAGCCTCCTGATCCAAGTAGGGTCTCAATTGGTACACTAGACAAACCTGTGCAAAGGTCCCCCTAGCTACAGCTGTCAGATGTTGTTCCAATTTCAGCTGTGAGTCTAGAAGGATGCCCAAATTGCGAGCCCATTCTGAGGGGGGCACTTTCTCTCCCCCCAGAACCAAGGATGGACAATCGACATAGTCTTTAGGGGGCAATACCCACAGCCATTCGGTCTTGTCTGGGTTAAGTCTGAGCCTGTTGACTCCCATCCAGATCCTCACAGCCTCCAGGCACCAGCACATCACATCTACCGCCTCACTGAACTGACCGGTGGAGATATACAGCTGGGTATCAGCAGCATATTGCTGATATCCCACCCTGTGTCATTGGATGATTTCACCCAATGGTTTCATGTAGATGTTAAATAGGAGGGGAGAGAGGACCGAGCCTTGAGGCACCCCGCAGACGAGGGGCCTAGGGGACGACCTCTGTCCTCCTACCAGCACCGACTGTGATTGACCAGAGAGATAGGAGGCGAACCACCGTAACACGGTGCCTCCCACTCCCAGCTCTCTTAGTCGCCCCAGAAGGATATCATGGTCAATGGTATCGAAAGCTGCTGAGAGGTCAGGTAGCACTAAGATAGAGGAATGATCCCTGTCTCGGGCTCGCCAGAAATCATCCATCAGCATGACCAAGGCAGTTTCCGTGCTGTAGCCAGGTCTGAAGCCGGACTGAAAAGGGTCCAGATAATCCGTTTCATCCAATGACCACAGGAGCTGAAGTGCCACCACTTTCTCTACAACCTTTCCCACAAAGGGTAGGTTGGAGACTGGATGAAAGTTTTTAAATTCTGCTGGGTCCAGGGAAGGCTTCTTGAGGAGGCACCTTACAACCGCTTCCTTTAATGGCTGCGGGAAGGACCCCTCCCTCAAGGACGTGTTAACTAAAGTCTGGAGCCAGCCTCGTGTCATCTCCTTGCTGACCGAAACCAGCCAGGAGCGGCACGGGTCCAACAAACAACTGGAGGAGCTCATAGCCCCTACAGCCTTATCTACTTCCTCAGGAGTCACTGGGTCAAACTCCTCCCACACAATAGGACTAAGACCCGCTCCCATCATCTCTGTCGGTATTGCCCAATCAGAGTCCAGTTCCATCCGAATTTGAATGATTTTATCCGACAGAAACTGCACAAATTCCTCAGCTCTACCCTGCAAGGGCTCCTCCGTTCCCCCAACCTTAAGGAGGGAGCAAGCTACCCTAAATAGGGCAGCTGGGCAAGAATCCGCGGATGCAATAAGTGCGGAAAAATGTGAACATTTTGCCGCCCGTATCACCACTAAGTAAGTCGTAACAAAGGCTCTCAAAAGTGTTTGGTCGAATTCGGATTTACTGGTCCTCCAGCATCGCTCTAGACGTCTCTTCTGGTGCTTCATCTCCTGGAGCTCCTCAGTAAACCAGGGAGCTTTCCTGGAACTGCTGCCATTGAGTGGCCGCAAAGGCACAATCCGGTCCAATGACCCAGACGCCGCCTTATGCCAGGCAGCCTCTAGGGTTTCGGCCGGACTGTGGACAAGGGAGTCAGGTATCTCCCCAAGCTCCTTCTGAAACCCTTCCGGGTCCATTAGGCGTCTGGGGCGGAACCACTTAATTGGGTCCGCCTCCCTGCAATGGAGGAGTGGCGTCTTAAAGTCCAACCTCGACAAGAAATGATCTGACCATGACAAGGGAGAGGCCTCTATACCCCTTAATTCCAGATCACATCTCCACTGCTCCGAGAGAAATACCAGGTCGAGTGTATGTCCCCCCTAATGGGTCGGACCCTGAACTACATGGGTCAGGTCCATGGTTGTCATGGGAGCCATGAACTCCTGAGCCCCATCTGAGGAATCGCCAAGTGACGGTAGGTTGAAGTCCCCCAGTACCATAAGCCTGGGGAACTCCACCGCCAACCCCCCACAGGCAGGGCTGTTGTCACACAGCTGGGAGGCCGGTACATCAACAACAAGCCCAACTGAACTCTTGAGTCCAACCTCAAGAGGAGAGACTCACACCCAACAACCTCTGGGGCAGGGATCCTGCGAGGACAAAGGCTCCTTCAGACAATATTTATTTATTTATAAAATTGGTATGCCGCCCTATCTCCAAGGACTCAGGGCGGCTCACACAATTGACCAACAACTGTTAAAATCAACAAATATACACAAAAAATATAAAAAAGTTTTAAAAATGTAAAAAAATTTAAAATATACTACCCCATCAGTCCAGGCTAGAGGACATAAATAGCAGGTTTTCAATTCACAGCGGAAGGTGCGAAGGTCAGGGGCCAACTGGAGCCCCAAGGGAAGTTGATTCCAAAGGGTGGGGGCGCTCACAGAGAAAGCTCTACTCCTAGGGGTCGCCAGCCGACATTGTCTGGCCAACGGTACCCTGAGTAGGCCCTCTGAGAACGCACTGGGCGATGGGAAGTTGACGCTGGTTGCAGGTGGTCTGACAAATAGCCTGGGCCTAAGCCATGAAGGGCTTTATAGGTTAAGAGCAGCACCTTGAATCTCACCCGGAGGGCAACCGGCAACCAATGCAAGCCGCGCAAGAGAGGTGTAATATGGGAGTATCAGGTCCCTCCCGCAACAACCCACACAGCTGCATTCTGTACCAGCTGAAGCCTCCGGGTGGTCTTCAAGGGCAGCCCCAGGTAGAGAGTATTGCAGTAGTCGATCCGGGAGGTGACTAGCGCATGACTGACTGTGTGTAGGGCATCTCGGTTCAAGTATGGGCGCAACTGGTGCACCAGGCGGACCTGGGCAAATGCCCCCCTGGTCACGGCCGTGATAGGACCTTCCAACCTCAGCCATGAATCCAGGAGGACGCCTAAGTTGTGCGCCCTGTCTACGGGGGGCAACACCTCGCCCCAATAGACAGCATTGGAACTTCTTGCTCAGCCCGAGATGCCGGTATCCACAGCCACTCGGTCTTGGCCGGGTTGAGTCGAAGCCTGTTACTCCCTATCCAGATCCATACTGCTTCCAGGCACTGGGACATCACGTCGAGGGCATCACTGGGCTGGTTTGGGGTGGATATAAAAAGCTGGGTATCATCAGCGTACTGATGATATTGCACCCCAAAACCACGGATGATCTCTCCCAGCAGCTTCCTCTAAATGTTGAACAGAAGGGGCGAGAGGACCGACCCCCGGGGCACCCCACAAGTGAGGGGCCTCATGGCCGACCTCTGCCCCCCTGCCAACACCGCTTGTATACGACCCGAGAGGTAGGAGGCGAACCACTGTAAAATGGTGCCTCCCACTCCCAATCCCTCGAGGTGTCGCAGCATGATACCATGGTCGATGGTATCAAAAGCTGCTGAGAGATCTAATAGGACCAGGACTGAAGAATGACCCCTGTCCCAAGCCCTCCAGAGAGCATCCACCAGCACGACCAATGCCGTCTCTGTGCTGTGACCGGGCCTGTAACCCGATTGGCATGGATCTAGGTAGTCTGCTTC